ACTTACCAAAAATTAAATTCTGAAACAGATAAAAATTTATTAACACAGAAAATTGTGGGAGGAGGTGCAAAATTTTTCTTTATTTCATACAAGAATTTCAAAAAATACGAAACGCAATGAAAATTGCGGATTTGAGGAAACGACAGAACTTAGCAATGAAGAAACACTAATACAAACAAAAATTTATAAAGACAGAAATTTGAGAAAAGAGAGCATTAACTTACCAAAAAATAAAATTTGAAACATACAAAATTTTATTATCATATAAAATTGTACGAGAAGAAGTGAAACGACCCTATCGAGAAACAGAAAACACAATGACAATTACGAAATTAAGATCAATCAACAATAAAACAATTTATTCAAAATCAATTCCTGAAACAGAGAAAAATAATTAACACATCAAAATCGGGGAAATTAAAATCGCGAAGGGGTATACAAATCTCGAAACTCGAAATAAAATCGCGAAGGGATATAAAAATCTCGAATCTCAAAATTTAATCGCGAGGGATGCAAAAATCTTTAATTTCGTACTGTAATCGCGAAGGGATACAGAAATCTCTAATCTCGAAATTTAATTGGGCGGGCATAAAAATCTCGAATCGCGAAGGCATGCAAAAATCTCTAATTTCGTAATGTAATCGCGAAGGGACACAAAAGTCTCTAATCGTGAAATTTAATTAGGCGGGCATAAAAATCTCGTACTTCATTTTTGCAATCGGATCTAGAACCCGACTGCGACTTACAAACTAAAAGGCCTGGCCTGAACGAAAAATCGAGTTCAAGAGAATATTAAATAAATTCATATTTAATATTTTTCTCTTCTCGATTTTTCGTCAACCCCCCAGATGCAAGCATCTCACGTGTAAGAGAGGAGGAGAGAGAAACATGAATGCTTGCTCTGGCCCTACCTACTTAAAACTAACTCATTCACACCAGAAGTAAACTACCTGCCTGCCTATCGCTATATTTAAAAAATTGCAAAGTCCATTCTCACAAAAACACACTCCACGATTCTCACACATACCACCCGGGTGCAAAAAGCCTATTCCTAGGGAGTACGTCCCGGGACGTCTCCGACACCCGAGTTCAATACAACATTCACACTCTAAGTTCATACCTTTTTGCTGAAATCGATCGACAATCGACAGTGAACATACATATTTCATTTTCGTACTCTTTCGAATATTCAATGTAATATGCACATGTAATAATTTAAACTACTCATACAATTTTCTAACTTAATTAATTTATAAAATTTTCAAATGGCTCTACTTGCATTTTGTATGCATTTTCAAATGACTCTACTTGCATTTTGTATGCATTAATATAACTTGAAAATGACTCTACTTGCATTTGTATGCATAAATAAAATTTTGAAAAATTTTTATAATAAATCTATAGTTTAAAATCGACACAAGGTCCACGACCTAACCACACACACACACGTGTAACTTGTGTCGATAATTCACTGTCAATTTGTCGATCGCCAAAACATCTTAAAACTAAACCGTGTTCACCTGCTCTAACCCATGCGAGTAGCATCTAAGCACGCGCATGAGTATAGAGCATAAAAATGAACACGGCCACATGTATTTTGACCTACCAGTTTTCTTCATGTGTGCTGAAAATCCTGAGCTAAAAA